GGCAAAAGTGCTCTTCGCCATCCTGTGCATCCTTAAACACTGTGACTCTATGCCCACAGATACGGTACATCTATTCCCAGTTGCATCAAGGGAATCGCTTTGAATATGCAATGTATTATTCATGTAGTATAAAGGCAAAGTCAAGTGTTGTTAGTCGAAAAAGGATTTAAAGAAATATAATAATGCTCCAACTTTTAATGCTTATTTTCAAATTTTTGTTGATCTTATTCTTCAACTATTAATAGTTAATAGTTAGTTGATATCTATTTATAAATTGTCTAGCAAACAAGATTGTTTGATTGTTTTGATGCGGGTTTTTAATCAATAAATGAAGTATTTTGTCCAGATCCTACAAGCAACCTTTTCGAACTGTTTGTCTCTGATTTTGAAGGTTTCTTATAATAGCTTTTCAGTGGTACAATTATTCAGTTATTACTTTGTGGGTAAAAAACAATTCAACTTCAATTGAATTGTAGGTTGAATCTATTTATATTCACAATGAATTTTCGTCTGAATAAATTGTATATGATTGAGCTGTCTAACAAATCTAATTCAATCGGAGCTGCATAATGTACTTTACAAACCTACAAGACTTGTCAACTTCATAAATAATTATAAACATTTGCCTTTAGTGAATCAAACCTTTTTATTAAATATCAAGATCCTTAACATGATGGATTCATTATGGACATTTGGTTACAAATTAAAATGCATACATCAAATCTGAATTACATTCATCTGTTTTACATTTTCACTTTTTACTTTTTCATTACGGTTTGACATTTTTGCTCCAAATGTCCACACTTAATTCAAAATTAACTGATCTAGATTTGGACTCCGAATTTCAAATAATAATGCATTCTGCAAACTTATGCTTCCAAATCTGAGATACACTCAATTTTTTCGCTTTTCATGTCTATTCGTACTCAAAAGGTGACTTTTAATATCTGGTTGTTACTAAAAAGACACAATAAACACAATTGTTGCATTTATGCACAAATTTACACAAATACTGAAAGAGAAAAGGGCAAAAACGGGTAATAATGAATTTCTTCCAAGTTTAGGTTCTGTTAGTTTGAAGGCGCTTGAAAACTGAGTCCGTATGTGCTATGCAAAAGTTTCTCTGACCAATAGTTTTCGAAAAAATAGAGTTCGAAGTCTAAACTTTGATCGCTTCTTGTACAATTATGGAAGCAGATTATTTCATGTAACTCATAGTACTGGTGTAACTTTTAATGCACAATCATGAAATGAGCTTACTTTGAGACACAAAATTTTCTGTTTTCCGTAAAACAGATCACTTCGATTTTCCATTAAAGTGACCGCATTCTGCACCTGTGAGAGTTAGATAGCTGAAACTTAATACCTGTCGATAAAAATTGTTGGTACACATTGCAGATTTAAAACTCTTTTCAATTTATCGATAGTTGTCCTGGTTTTGACCACTAACCCAAAAACTTTGTACCTCGATATATCGAGAAGGGCCTCACCTACAATCATCATTCTTTGGTCAAACGT